CTCAGGTAGGCAAGACAAGCAATGCAACCACTACACCACTCAAGGTTGAGTGTCTTTTGTTGTTAGGTTATTTATTTCAATACAACGGGCCAACGCCGGAAGTCAATGGTCAACGCCGGAAGTCAACGGTCAACGCCGGAGTCAACTAATAATTATTTTATTATTTAATTAATGTATATTTTAATTGATTTTGATCTAGACAAAATGAGTTGCTAAGATTGAGTCTCACGTACTCATTTTAAGGAGTGGTCTCATTGGATCCATCCCCTATATATATATATATATATATATATATATATATATATTTTCTAGTAGTTAAAAACGTGTATATTTATTTTAATTTCCGCATATGATATAAATTAGTTATATTTTGACAAAAGTAGATTTGGCATTCATAATGCATATATACATAAATAAAATATTAATTTATATTTATAGTTTAAATTAAATTATCTTTAAATATTAGTCGAATACTAATAAAAGTATTTATCAGTTTATTATATCACGTCCACTATTTAATATGAATTATAAAAAATTATAATATTCGATGAAAGTCTTACAAGTGACATATCTCATTCTGAATATAAGTAATAATGAAATTTTTAAAAAGTATTTTAACTTTAAATGAGAACTACTTTTCTATCTTCGTAAATTAATATAAACTTTATAATTAGCAACGTAACTGTAATACAAGGCTGGTGAACACTACTAGTGTAGCTTATAAAAAAACTTATGAATCATGAGGGCAAGGAAATATAGTTATCTACATTTATTATTTCACTTTTAAGATTTCTCATTTTTTCTTTTCTTTGTTGTTTTTATATATTTTTCCTTTTTTGTTACCAATAATTTTTTTGCTATACAATTGTGATGTCTATATATATATAATAAGAATTACCATTTACCAAAAATAGTAGCAAAAAAATTAGTCAGAATTTAATGAAGCCTATAAATAATACTAGTAAGTTTTATTATTTTTCTTATTTTTTCTTTAAAAATCATACAACATTAAATGATACCTTAAATTTCGGACTTTAGTTCATTTTATTATTTAAAAAATTCGGTTGATTTATTAAGTGTGTATTTTTTAATTTTATTTTTTTCTTAGAAATAACGAACAACATTAAAATCTCGGTCTCTATATTTATAAAATCTCAATTCAAAATATAACAAAGGTTTTAAAATCTCGGTCTTTATATTTGTGCTTTTAAAAAAAAATATTGAACCCTAAGATTATTCTTTAAATTTTATAATCAATCAATTAATCTTAATTTTTTTAAAAATTACTATGTTTATTTTTTATTAATATGCATAAGTAAAAACAATTAATTCATCTTTAGATATATAATTTATAATCTCAATATACTATCATTTGGTGTAGACATTTATTATATGAATCATAAAATATTTTTATTTCATAAAATTAAATATATTTAAAGAAAATAAGAATATTTCTTCGGATCAATCGGGTGATTGAATTGGGGTACTGCAAAGGTTGATTGAATTGCTTTTAGGCGATATTTAAAATAGTCAAAAAATTTGACACAACTTGGTTTGTCCCAGACTAAGTTATGTATCAGTTCGATCACACTAAATCGATTATTGAACCTAAATATAAATTCTATATTGAAAATATTTTATTACATGAATGTGATGTAGTCCAAACTTCAAATAATCGTATTAACAATACTTTTACGACAACATGTTTAATGATTTATCAATATTTATATATCATTTTATTAATATTTGTGTGAATTAAATAATATTTTATTATAAAATTTATTAATGTACAATAAATATAAAGTTTTCAGAACCGGACCGTCATCGAAACGATCAACCTATTTTATTAAATTATTTGTGGTTTGTTTAGATTTTAATTTATAAATATTTTAATATATATATATAGTACTTTTTGTAATAAATTTAAATGAAATGCGTTACTTAGATATCTAAACAATTTATAAATTCAAATGTTTAACCTAATTGATAAATAATTTATAAATCTCTATTTTGTTTAAATATGTAATTTTATTTAAAATAATTTTAAATATAAAAAAAATTTATTTAGAAAATCGTATCGATCCTAGCAGTCCAACCGACTAGTATTGACAGATTCGAGAGCAAATATTTTATTCAAGCGAACTATACTGGTTATAAACCGGTTCTCGGTCCATCCGGTCGGACTGTGTCCAACCCAGTTTAATTTAAAAATAATGGATAAATCATCATTAATGTAATTTATGTATTTATTTTTTAATACAATCGTAATATTGTTTTCCCGTGCATCGCACGTACAGCGCTCTAGTTTAAAGTTTAAAGGGAATTATGAGGGAAAGGGTTATGAATTATTAGATCAACTCCAACCGAACCCCAAAACGCAAAATGAGGGAGATAAATTGATCCAACCGAACACCAAACGCAAACTCAAAATGCGTTTTGCTCACTCTCTCTCATCAAATAAACGCATATATGCGTTTCAACGCAAAATTTGCGTTTGTAATTTTCAAATTGCAATCTCACACCCATGTTTGTTATTAATTACATAATTGGACAATAATAGAAAAAAAAGATAAATAATTCTTCAAATGAAGAAAATTAATTATCTAAACTTAGATAAGAAAATTTATGGGAGTCGTTCAGTATTCTAACAAATTTATTGCCTATGTAATATTGTATTCTGTTCATTATGATTTATTTACATAATTGTCATATTTATCTTTTTCTTTTTAAATATATTAACGTACTAATATTTATCCTTTATTTTTTCATAAATTAAATACTAACATAAAGAATATATATATATATATAATAAATTTTCTTACCAATGAAAAATAACATTATAAACCATGAAATACAAATTAGATGTATATAATAAACTAAAATATGAAAAATATAACTGAAAAAATATGTATTCCAATATTTTACATATGTACGAATTATCAATCTATAATAAATTATTATATATTTTTCAAATCAAATATAAAATAATATTGGGTTGAATGTGTAGAATTATTAAATATGTGGGGTAGTATTGAAAAATTATAAAACTTGATGTGTGAGAATATTCTTTTGGGGTTGAAAATGAGTTTTTCGGTTGGAGATAAATTACTGCAAAATGTGACAGTTACTGCAAAATGGGTTTGAGTATGAGTTTTTCGGTTGGAGATGGCCTTATGCAAGAAATATGAACCAACTTAACATGGAAAAAGGGTCCCTCTTCTTAAATGTAACTCGACAATTTCAACTGAAAATTAATGCTGCTTTATTTTTATTTTTATTTATTTTTCTCCGCTATTAATCAAGGTTTAGTTCCACACTTCGACTTAATAGACCATTTTTTAAATAGCATAATAGACCATTTTAAACAATTTAGATTATACTTTACCTCCAAAGGATTAACAGCAAAGAATTTCATTGAGTGCTGTTTGAGTCTTGAGCAAATTTTAAACCTTTAAGCCAACACCTGGACCATTCTTGAATGTCTTGCGAAAAATAAATAAAATAAAGCAATAAAAAATGACCCTATTTAAGACTTTAAGTGAAGATTTAACTGTAAAACATAACTATTTTTTTATTAAGTGTTTTAGTGAACTGGATTTAGGCTTTCGTAAAGCAAAAGCCAGATTCAAAATTAAAAACACAAAAGGCAAAAGCATTTCTACCTTTGAAGATTTCCAATGATATATTAACACTTCATTCTTGTCAGTTATTTCCCAAAATTTCGTGAAATTAATTAATAGTAGTAGCATTTTTTTTAAAATTACACCACTAATTATATCTACAATGGCTACGTTTAGTTGAGAAAAGAAAAACTTTTTTGAAAAAAGAACTTTATTTAATAATAATAATAATTATTATTAATCATGATAATGAAATATACCAGATATACAAATAACACAACATATATAAAGCATCTATAAATCTGTAACAACTCGTGTAAGATAACTAAATTTACCTGTACCATATAAATTAAAATATGAAAATACTGATGATAAATTGATCTTAACGTACATGCACAAAACAAAATTGCATTATTGTTTGCATTGTAGTATTTGTCTTGCAATTTTTCACGATAACAAATTGATTAAAGGCAGGAGACTAGCTAAGTAACTAGCAAGCCAGGTATAAAGGTATTTGCCTTGAGGAGCAAATAAAACTGATTACAAAGGCTTAACTAACAGAATTATGGAAACTAAAACACTATCACTAGTGATCGACTACTCTTATAATTGGGAATTGGTATATTTTAGAGTAGTTTTCTCAAGAATTAGTAATTTCTTTATTATTCTTTTAGCATATAACATTAGAGACATTTTACTTATTTAGTAAGCAATGTTTTAGAATTAAAAAAAGAAAAAAGTAATGTTTAGAATTATTTTTTGAATTGAGTTGTTCGCGGAGCACATACAAATTTGGCTCGTTCTCAAACCGACACATATTTTATAGGTTTTGAACGAGTACATAAAAATATGTTCACAAACAACTCATTTAGATTTTTAAATTTATTAAACGGATTCAAACTCGATTTGTTTTTTTTTTTTGCTAATACATAGGTCATCTTTCGCTGCAGCACTTTTTCTCAATTCCAATAACTGTAGACATATTTCTTTCTTCTCTGTCTCTAAATCGTATGTTTTTATTTTCCACGAACTTTAATATTTATTAATAACACTTTTGTAGACACTTTTGAACCTAAAAATCCTCTTAATTAGTTGTTCATAATTTAGTAAAACTAATTAAATACTACCAAGCAAAGTCCCCCATGCAGCATCAACACCTCAAAAGCGGGGACAATTGTGGAAATTTGCCCCAGCGACGAGGTCGAAATTGTGTCGGCCCCTAACTCTAGTTAAAATTTAACCATGGTACTAAAAATTGGGCCGTTGGGCCCACTTAACTTGCTCCAGAAAGCCCAAAATCGTCGGTGACTCGGTGCGGCACTGCGACTCAGTCACTCAACTCGCCATTTATATATACACACACGCTTACAATATGCATTTGTCAAAGAGAGACATACAATAAATTGAAAAGAATAATATTAAAAAATTTACTAATGTTTTGCTGAGAGCTTTGGATGCCATTAATTCTCACTGGTACAAGGCGAGCTTCAGAAAGGGAAAGGGCGAGCAATGGCGGACTCCGCCCACTCCGTCACCGTCGATATAGATTCAGTCCCGGTCGCCGGAAAGGTGAAGGTCAAATCTCAGTTGCATTAGGTTCACAGGCGATTATATACGTGTTAATGTGTGTTATGGTTGTTGTTTGCAGTGTTATGCTTGCTGTTTGCCTTCGAATATGATGTGTATTTGATTCGTTTGAGCTACATTTTAGTAAGTAGCTTCGAGGTTGCGTGGTGTTCGATATTGTTTTTGCGTGATTTGCTTTAGGTATAATGGAGATGGTGTTTGGATTGTTAATATGAGTTTCTGTTGATTAGTTGTGCTGTTTTTGTTTTACGATTTGAATTTGTGGAAAGAGGGAGTGAAATCAGCTAAATTTGGCAAAAAAAATAAATAAAAATAAGATTGTTATTTATCTGATTTTATTCAATATTGCTGCTAATTTGGTAAAAAATAAATGTTGCTTTAATTTTTTGTTTTCCTGTGCTTCCCATTTTCTTCAGAGAAGGAAAATGATCCTTCTTAGGTATGTTTTTCTTATGCAATGGTATGCATTAGAGTGCTTATCACGTTTGGCTTAAGTGCTAAAGTGACTATTTATCTGCAATCATATGTGCAAACACACTGTACATAAATGTTCTTTTTGATTGGTTAGAACTCATCTGCATGTAGTTTTATATGTTGGGTCTGATGTAACTTGGGAACTTCACTTTTACTAAGGCTGTGTTTGGTAAGCCAAATAAGCTAGCTTATAGCTGATTTGGTTAGCTTATAAGCTCCATGTATTCAAATAAGCCTCGTTTGGTAGGACGAGCTTTTTTAAAAAGCTCGAGCTTATCTGATAAGCTACTTTAGGTAGCTTTTCAAATAAGCTAGTTGAATTTTTTTCATATAAGCTAGTTTTTCAGCTATAAGTCATAAGTTATAAGCTATAAACTAAAAAATTACAGATAAGCTATAAGCTAGCTTATCAGCTAGTTTTACCAAACATAGCCTAAAGCAAGTAGTAATTGCTGCTCCAGTGTATACGTAGCATTATCGGTTTCCTAGTGTATGTCCACTTTTCCTTCTTTCTTTTTATTTTTTTTTTTCGTCTTTGAGAAAAAGTAAGATAAAAATCAATTACTGAAAATTTTATTATCTCATATCTTGGTTGCTTGTAGTTCAGATAAGGACTCCTAACCTCAGCATATGAATTGGTTGGGGAGTATATTCTTTGAGGTGGTAGTAAAGAAAAGAGGGATTGACTTTTAGCTAGCTGGGATTTCACAAAAGGCACTGCACATGGGAAACTCTGTTTGGAAATAAATGATAGTGTCCTTTTTAACTAAAAGATTGTTCCTAATTCCAAAGCATATGGTTTCAGTTCCTATTTCCAAAGCATATGGTATCACAATTTTTTTTCTGGACTTCAGTGCTTGTGGAATATTTTTGGTTGCCTCTCTCTCTCTCTCTCTCTATCTCACAAACTATGCTGTCATGACCTCTTACAGGAGCATATTGTGAAAACTGGTTGTGGTTCTGTGTCGGTGGCCGTTTTTGGGGACCAGGACAAGCCTGCTCTAATTACCTATCCTGATTTAGCCTTAAATTGTAAGGGAAACTTAATATTATGGTCCTTATGGACAATGATCACGATCTTACATTTTGACAGGCTTCTGCTACCTACATGTGCCTCTTTAATCTTTGGCATTGCCTTGTAACCACGCTGAAGCTTTTTTTTTTTAATTATTTTATAAATTTCATGTAGGATTTCAGGTTTCTATTATTTTTCTTCAAAACTTTATGAAATGATTTCCTCCATGAAAATTGCTTTATCTGTAGTAAAATATGCTTTGTGTTGAGAATGACAGAAAATGATTATCCTGAACATAAATAATAATATTTGAAGTTTGAACCTTCTAGCTTCTTTGCGATAGTCGCTTGAAGTAATAATTTCTCTAGGCCCTAGTGAATGCAATGTATGTGTTATTTCTACAAGGTGACATTAACATATCTAATTCTTCTTTTAACTGCGTGTGGCAATTGACAGATATGTCCTGCTTCCAAGGTCTCTTCTTTTGTCCAGAATCGTTTTCTTTATTTCTCCACAACTTTTGCATCTATCACATCAGTCCTCCTGGACATGAGGTTCGTTCCTTGCTTCCTTGGTTATTGATAATGGTTAATGATGAGTTGCATGGATCGCCTGTTTTCTTATTTGGTACCCGTGTTAAGAATAATTACAGCTAGGAGCTGCTGTTGTGGGGCCCGATGAGCCGTTGTTATCCGTCGATGATTTAGCTGATCAGATTCCTGAAATACTTGACCATTTTGGGTAATTTTAGATTTACCTGTGTTTTCTTAATCCTTATATTTTACATAAATCCTGCTGTCCCATTTTGGTCCCATTAATTCACTTTTTTTTGTCCTAGAATTCGAGATGCATCTATATGGTATACCCCAACTTAATGACTGATGAAAATATTTACCACGTCTCAAATTGATGTTGAAATTGGTTTAAGCGTGTGCTTGGAAAAACTTATTTAATACCTTATAGTTCTATGTTTTGGCAAATTAGCTTATGACTTGAAAAGTTCTTAATTTGAGAAGCTATCTCGCATTGCATCTCATTCTATAATCTCACCCTCAAAATATATTATTTGCATAATGTTCTTTCAAGAGCATCAATTACTAATATATGATGGCTTAAATTGTTATAAGACAAAGTTTGCTCATAATATCACTCTTGCAGAGTTGGTGCGGTAATGTGCTTGGGGGCAACAGCTGGAGCTTATATTCTTACCCTCTTTGCTGTAAGTCCTTATCTTCCTAGAGCTCCTTTCTCCTTTTGCTTCCTCCAATTTCAACCAATGTAATTAATTACACATAGCTTTATTGCAGATGAAGTACCCACAACGTGTTACGGGTTTGATTCTTGTTTCCCCTCTATGCAAAGCACCATCTTGGACAGAGTGGCTGTACAATAAGGTATATATTCCTCCCCTAGCCCGGGCCCGACTTCACACCCTACTACCAATATTTTAACGATAAAACATAAAAATGAGATAATTCTGTAACTTTAATCGAGGACTTATCTTATTTACTGAAAAAAAAAAACCAATTAACCCCTTCTTGACTTGTGTACGACTCCATGATGTTTGTAAGGGTGCAATTTTGTGAAGTAATAGAAACATAGATCAAGTAAGGTACTTGTTAAAATTGTAATTTGGAAGATAAGTTGAGGATTTTGTAATAGACTATACAACAAGTACTCTTTTTTGTCATTATTTGATTTGTTATTTGTGTGTTTCTTTATGGGGGTCAGATTTATTTTTCTTAGTTCTGCTAAAACGATATTGCAGGTAGTATCCAACTTACTTTACATGTGTGGGATGTGTGGTCTAGCAAAAGAATTGTTGCTCATACGGTATTTCAGCAAGGTACTTATAATAAGAGCACCCATTATCCATTATACACCATTGTGGTTCAATTTTCGAAAAAAAAAAAAAGGGAGCACTGGATTTTTTTATTATGATTTGGCAGGAACATCGGGGCAGTGTGGATGTACCAGAATCAGATATCGTTCAATCATGCAGACGAGTTAGTGCTCATGTTTCTTCCCATCCTGTAATTCTGTATTGAGTAAATCCATAAAAGAACTGAATTTGTTTGTCTCTAAATTCCACCACACTGCCTTTTTTCTTATTGATTGCAGTTGTTAGGAGAAAGGCAGAGCCCAAATGTGCTTCGGTTTCTTGAAGCTATCAATGAGTATGACCCCCTCCCTCTCTCTCTCTCTATTTCTTTTTTATTTCTTTTTTTCTTTCTATTTCATTTTTTCTGGTAATTTTTCACATCCTTTTTTGCCCTATTTTCTAAATTGCACGTTCAATAGGGGAATTTTAATTTATACAAATTTCAAAGAGATTTTTGTAGTTTTGGTGATAAAGGGAATGTTAACCTTAATGTAGATTTCCTAATTATTCCTGGCAAGATCAAATATATACAAAATGAGGCGAACAGATAAGGAGCCACTGCATCAAGTACCTCTACAACTATAAGCCACATCTTGTTCATCATTAGCTTCTTGATTAAAAAAAAAAAAGTCTCTTATTCTCTTATCATTATTCTTTTCAGGAGACCAGATATCACCGAAGGCTTGAAGAACCTGAAGTGCCGAACTTTGATATTCGTTGGTGAACACTCTCCTTTCCACTATGAGGCCCTCCACATGACCTCAAAGCTGGATAGGAGATTAAGTGCCTTGGTAGAGGTACATGAAACTGTTCCTAAGCTTCTACTGGAATATGGATTTATCCTAGGGACAAGAAAAAAAACTTCTTTTACCGATAAAAAAAAAAAGACAATAATAACTACTTCAAGATTTTGCTTAATTACAAAAACGCTCATAAACTTTCAATTTCCTCAATACAGCAATCTTTATAGCACTAATTATTTCTAATATAGCTAGATTAGGCTGATCCTTTAAATTAATTTCTAATTAATTGCACGGCAAAATTAATACTGTCTCCGTGCATGAGCAGGTTCAAGCATGCATTTATCCCAAGGACAAAAAAATAAAAACAGTAACTACTTCAAGATTTTGCTTCATTCCCAAAATGATCATAAACTTTCAATTTCCTAAATATAGCAATCTTTATAACACTGTCTAATTATTTCTAATATAGCTAGATTGGGCTAATCCTTTGAATTAATTTCTAATTAATTGCACGGCAAAATTAATACTGTCTCCGTGCATGAACAGGTTCAAGCATGCGGATCGTTGGTTACTGAAGAACAACCAGATGCGATGTTGATACCATTGGAATATTTTCTCATGGATTATGGCTTCCACAGGCCGTCAAAATCCAGTGTCAGCCCAAGAAGCCCGTTGAGCCCGACTAGCATCTCACCTGAGCTTTTCTCACCGGAAAGCATGGGGCTGAAGTTAAAACCAATCAAAACAAGGATCCAGGAAGAAGTGTGAGGTCTTGAGATAAAAAAAATCAAAAGGCAAGCTTTTCTTTGTATTATATGAAACTAAGGAGTTTATTTAGTATTTACACGTGATTGGTTCGATTTGTTGGGAGAAAATTCATGTAATTAAATATAGGAAAGGGATAAATTTAGTTTGAATGGAGCAGAGGTATTATTATAGATAGGGAAAAGCTACACAGGCTAATATGAAAGTTTGTGGAGAATTATAGGGATAAATCTCTGTATATCCTTGGAATAATTTATATTTATGATGATGAAATAGTGATAGCCAGAAAATAATAAATGGCGGGCGAAGAAATTGCATTTCTTTAGTTTACTTTGATTGTTACATTTTTTTTTTTTCGTTTTTGGTGATTATTTTCTGATTATGAGTTTCGTGATTACCAGAAAAACAGTAGCTATACTTTTTATATGTACCTTCATATTTAAATATCGTACTTTAAAAGGATAATATAAATAAAAATAATATATTTTATAGTATGAATATAAATATGTATATTTAATAAAATAGTATGACGAATTGAACGCCAAACAATAAGATTATCCCAAATAAGAATTTATGATAGAACACTGGTATCAAATGTAATCATGTAAGTCAAGTATGGCTCCTTAAACCCTAGACATTATTACATAATCTCAATTATCAAGTTAAAAATATGAAATAACAAGAAACTTCACAAGACGTATCTCAACCCTCAATGGAGCGAAGGCAAAGAAACTATATCCCATCAAATTAAATTTGACGATTATAACTAAGATATTTTGGCAGATCCACATGTCCGTACTACCTTAGAGCTGAGGAAATATACATTTGTAAGCATATCCTCCATACTATATACTATATCCTCCGTACGTAGGATACAAAACAAAAAGGGCAATTAGGATTCTATAACATAATAACCTCAACACACTTAATCCCAACTCAATCCATAGCAAATCTTGTACCCTCAAAACACATGAGATTTCTATGATTATTCCCCTCAGCTTCTTCATTTCTACGAGCTTTTCTTCTGTTCATCTCTGCATACATTTCCTCTATCATCGGTTTCCATAGCCGAACACGAGCATTTATAAACCAATTCGAAACCTAGTAACAAAAATAACATAAGAACAATCAGCTTCATCTAGTTAACAATACCTGAAAAATAAAGTATATATAACTATTCCACCTAAGTACTTACCTGATTTCTTGTGAGACCGCTTTTCAAAGCAAGCAAGTGCTTCTCCGCATCTTTCGGGTACCTGTAATTTTTATATGTTTTTTTTTTTTTTTAATAACATTTTGTAGCTACAAAAATTTATACTCAAGAAACCGAAAATATGAAACTTACGGGTGAAGGAAGTTTTGAAACATCCAAGCTCTCAAAACCGAGACTGATTTTTCGGGCAGTCCTCTTTGAGGCCTCCACAGCTGTTGGTCCCGCTTGCTCAGCTGTTGCAAGGCCCATTGCTTCTGAATGAAGCTCGTCTCAAACGAGCTGTCATCTCTCGTTTCCCCCAGATCTTGATGGCTCGACTGTCCTAGAGAGAGAATGTGGGAACTAATTCTCTCTCTAAGATTTCTGTACATGAAGGATACTCCCGGGAGAACAAAACGAGCGTGCAGGTTCGGGTCGAGCTCGGTTACCGCATGAAAGGCACAAGTCACCGTGTGGATCTCATCCATGCATTGGCTGTACTTATCATCCACCTTCACACAAAAGAAATCAAAAAATATGGTAAATTATATAACTAAACTGGATTTTTGCTTAATTAATACTCTCTAACTTCAGTTATCTGTCTCTATAGTTTCTGTGCGTTTGTGTGTCTTGATTTATAAAAGTGGCAAAAATTCAATTTTGATTCGTTTACTTATCTAAAGTAGTCTTTTTCTGTTACACTACTTTCCTCTCTCATTACTAATAGTACGTTATGTTGCAATTTGTATCATTACTGGGACATTATAATCCAAAAAAATGGTTCATTATTTTTTGGGATAAATACTGTCCACAAAAATGATACAAATTGTAACATAAAGTACTATTTTATACGAGAGAAAAGTCAGTGTACCAAAATTAAAGTTTTGCCTCATTATAAAAACAAGTGCAAATATATATATATATACCAATTGCAATAAGGACAGCAAGTGCTTTTTCCGAGTCACGATCTCGTGTTCGTGCGAGTGGTTATTATCCTGGGGTGAAAACTCGGGAAAATCGGACCCGGAATAGTAACTCGTGCTATCGACATTCTCGAGCGAGTAACGTGCAATCTCGGCAAGTATTTCCTGCACGGCGTGCACGAATCTCAAGCTGGGGGCCGCCACTTGTACTTGCTCGCGAGAGTCAAAGCTTAAAGACACGTTTTTGCTGCTGCACGACCCGTTAGAGCTCAAATCCGAGCTCCTGTGAAGAATAACGGGAGGAGGCGCTGCAAGACTAAGAGAGAGCTCTTTTGGAGGGACGACAAGCTTGTTCAAATTCCACGGTTCTATACTACTACTCTCGTAACCGTAACACCCCATTGGCTCATCGTAATACGGGTTCGCGATGCTCGACGAGCCGGTTTTCGTTGTGACATTTTCTTGATTCGTGAAAAAACGGGTATTATTTGTTTCCTGAAAATCCAAGGGTTGGAGAGGATAAAACGATGCTTCGGTTGGGAAATTGCAAACGACTTTTCCTCGTTGGGCGGTGTAATACTCGTTGAGAGTGGCTATCGTGACTTGATTTTCCATCTCGGCAGAATTAAAGACGTTCATGGGTTGTCCATGAGTTATCGGGAGAGCGAATGAATTGGAATCATTAAGGGGAGTTAAGGCTGTGGAGAATGAGTTTGCTTGTGAGATGATAGAATGTGAACTATTTCCATTTGTGTCTCTTTGCATTGTTGATAAAGATTGCTTCTTTAACTTTGTTCACCAGAACAGAGAAAGGATAGAAAAACTGTATCTCCTGGAAAAATAGAAGAAAATGAATAAGAGTTCTAATTTCACATATATATGCGTAGTATCCTCATAAAGAATTAGGGAAATACTTACACAAATAATTTTCAGGAAATTTTTAACAATGCAGCCAAAAAATCAAAAAAGGAAGCATTTTTATAATCTGCACATCCATTTTCTAAAGAAAGAGTTCAAGACAATTGGAATGCCTGAAAGAAAATTGAGGCAAAATAGACTGAAATCATACTTTTGAGGACTTTTAACTTTTATCTTGATTTTCTATTTAGCTATATATATTTTTTAATAATTTCCAGAATATAACAAAAGTTTCATCTTTTATGTTATTGTCCACACAGAAAAATGTTGTAGACATGATAAGCTTCATACATTATGGTCCCAACTCCCAACAAGAAAAAGGGGGAAAAAAATACAATTTTTATGCTAATGGCAGAAAATTATATCTCAGCACAATCAGGTGAAAAGATTGAACTCAGTACATAGGAATATGACTAAATATAGTAATTATGTTGAGATGAGTGACCCCAGTTACAAAAAGCAGGAATATTATAATATACAAATGATCTAAACACACAAACATGAACTTCAAACATTTGACAAACCTTGTAACACTTGGGAGAGTGAAATAGTTCAAGAACAGATACAACTGTGGTTGCTTCAAATATGGAGAAAAACTTCTTCAGGCCTTTGCTGGAAAAATGTAAGAGCTGAACATATATTGCAGGTAAAATATGATTAAAAATACGATCTTTTTTATGGCTTTGACTACAAAATGATGCTTGCCATACAAAGCATAAAGGCAGAGGCTTTGAATCTTATATGATAATAAACCATATGTAGGAAATCATTGGTTACCCTTTCTTCTCCAAACAGTGTACAATCAAAAGGGCACCTGAATTTTTATTTTTTTTATTTTTTTTTGAAATTTTTAGCTTTTATTTTTCTTTTGGGTACTTTTCTTTGGATTCTTTCTTATTTTTACCCTTTTACCATAAAGAATAAGGTAATAAAAAGAAGCTAAAACAATGAAGAAAAAGCAACATCATGCACTTAAAAAAAACCAGTGGAAAGTACTTTTCATCAAAGCCCCACTGCAATTCTGAGAGTACTACGTAACAAAGAATAAAAGTCCAAAACAAATGCCATAAAGTGAGCTGTTTTTACTTGCATGAACAAGCAAAGGAGGGCAAAAAGAAACAAAGCAAAATGGGGATTTCATCCAAGATATTCAAACCCCAAGAAAATAAAAAAACAGAGAAAATTTCAGAGCTTGCAGAGAGAAAAAGAGAAACCCATCAAGAATCATGAATCTTCAGAGCCCCAAATTTATCTCTCCTCACTTTCTTGAAAAAAAAAAGACTCTTCTTTTTCACAAGAGATTCTCACATTAACCACAAGGTAATTCATTTTTTCAGGACCCAAAGGCACAGAGGGTCATACAGCTTTGAAGGACAACAAGGCATTATTAACAAGAAGCCATCAAAATAAAAATTGGGTTTTCTTCCTGCAGAAAAATCAGATAGAGTTGTAGGTAGAAGGGGATTGATATAATATAATAATGAAATCAATAAATGGACCCATTTAATAGAAGTTTGAAATCCTCATAGCCACACACCAAATAGTTATTAAATAACACAAAAAATGGCTCAAACTT